AAGAGTAATGTGATGAGAGACAAAGATTTTGGGTTTAAAAAAAAATTTGGGTACAAATTGGGGAGGAGTATGGGGAAAAAGTAATTTTTTTTAGATATTTTGGGGGTTGACATGTCACGGATGGATTTATGAAAGGGTGAGGGTTTAAACATAAAAATTGAAGAAGGAAAAAAAGGGGAGTTGGGTGCAATTTAGGTACAGCAGGGGGCCCCCCTTTACGGGGTTCCGCTAATTTCGGGCATTTGAAAATTTTGGGCCCAAAAACCTTTGCTATAAAGGGTCCCCCCAAACCCTTTTTTTCTAATACGGTCCGCGGCCCCCCCCGAGTTTTTTTACATTTCCCCCTGAGCACATCTCATTATGACGGAAACTTTCCCAAAATTTTTAAGTGTTTTTAAAAAATTATTTAAAAATTTTATATGTATTGTACTTGATAATTTAAAAAATTTTGTACACCTGTACCTAAATAAACTTACACCCACTGTGCTGGGCATGTAGGTTTCACATTAAAATCACTAAGGTCTCTCTACCTTATGCAATAATAAAAAATAAAATAATAATAATAATAATAAAAATAATAATAAAAATCTCTTTGGGGACATTTTAAAGTCGCATATTACGTTAAATAGACATTTCCCCTTTAAACTATCATGATATTTTTTTTTAAAATTTTAAAAAAGAAACAAAATTAAGTAACACACAAAAATGATACATGCACCCAAAAGTAAAAAATTTATACAAATTATATGGGGATTTTTAAACCCAAAAGGTTTTTTAGAAGTGTCGAAGAATTAAAGTTTTTTCTAGCCCTTTTTCCCCGTTCTAAAGGGTAACTGTAGAAAAAAAAATTCCTTTCGGAGCCTTCAAATTTTAAACTATAAATTTTGTACTAACTTGACAAAAGTGTAAAGTAAAATTTTTTCCCTGATTTAATTATTATAAAATAATAAAAATATTATAAGGTAAAAGTTTCACAAACTCTTAAAAAATGTACATGAATGAACTAAAACTGGACAAAATATTTAAAACCGTCTATTTCGCCCGACCGGTGATCGCCACAACCTGTTTTTAGTTTTTTGTTTTCGCTGTTGAGCTCGGGGTATCTTAAATGTTGTATAATTTTCGTTAATTACACATTTTCAAATTTAAACCATCCGTGTATTTTTTTTCAAAATTAATAATAAACACGATTTCATTTAAAAAAAATACATAACAAATGTGTAGAGAACCTTTGGGTAACCCAAAAAAAAAACAAAGTGACTTACTTCCATTTTTCCTCCTCAGAGCATCATTTCTTTTTCAAAATGAGGTTTTCAAAGAGAATGGGAGTGTTCTTCCTTTTTTTTTAAATTCCCAAACCGTATCAATGTAAGACAACCTTACACAATGTAACCCTTTTACACAAACCCGACGTGTACACTGTTTTTTCAAAACTTAACCCCTTCGCCTGGTTTGGGTTTTCATAACTCTGTGCCTGTCCTCTCTCATGCAAATCATTCTTTCTCCCCTGGGGATTTGGGACCCCCGGCTGACTACCATACATACCACAAATTGATTTTTTACAAAAAATACTACTCAACTCCCCATATTTTAAGTAAGTAAAGAGTGGGAACTGTAAATACATTTTTTAAACGCTCTGGAAGCTTTAAAAACATAGAAAAAGTAAAATGTGGGTGGGGGGGCCTGGGATGGGGAGCCGGCTGACTACCCTACATACCCCACTTGATTTCTTAACAAAAAATACTACTTGTCTCAAACCCCAGATTTAAAACTAAAAAATATTTTTAAAGGGAGTAATTTAGTGCACTATGTGTGTATTTACTTTTTTTTTTTTTTTTTGATGCCTGGTTTTTTATTGCTAACATAATATATGTTAGTGTAAACTTGTTATCTAGTGTTTGTATGCATTTGTAAGTGGAAAAAAAGGGTGTTCCACTTTACGGCGGTTTCTGCTTTACGGCGGTAGCCTGGAACCTAACCCGCCGTATAAGTGGGGCCCTCCTGTATATGTTGAGGCAAAAAATGTTTTCTATGGAGGCAAAGAAGGGAATGTATGAAAGTATAGTATTACCAACACTCTTATATGGGCGTGAAGCTTGGGTTGTAAATGCTGCAGTGAGGTGGCGGTTGGAGGCAGTGGAGATGTCCTGTCTAAGGGCAGTGTGTGGTGTAAATATTATGCAGAAAATTCAGAGTGTGGGAATTAGGAGAAGGTGTGGAGTTAATAAAAGTATTAGTCAGAGGGCTGAAGAGGGTTTGTTGAGGTGGTTTGGTCATTTAGAGAGAATGGCTTAAAGTAGAATGACATGGAGAGCGTATAAATCTGTAGGGGAAGGAAGGTGGAGTAGGGGTCGTCCTCGAAAAGGTTGGAGGGAGGGGGTAAAGGAGGTGTTGTGGGCGAGGGGATTGGACTTCCAGCAAGCGTGTGTGAGCATGTTAAATAGGAGTGAATGGAGACAAATGGTATTTGGGACCTGACAAGCTGTTGGAGTGTGAGCAGGGTGATATTTAGTGAAGGGATACAGGGAAACTGGTTATTTTATATAACCGGACTTGAGTCCTGGAAATGGGAAGTAGTACAATGCCTGCATTCTAAAGGAGGGGTTTGGGATATTGGCAGTTTGGAGGGATATATTGTGTATTTTTATACGTATATACTCCTTAACTGTTGTATTCTGGGCACCTCTGCAAAAACAGTGATTATGTGTGAGTGAGGTGAAAGTGATCTGTATCTAGATGGGTGGCAATCTTGCTTCTTAGAACCCATTCAAAGATTTTTATGATATGAGACGTTAGCACTATCAGTCTGTAGTTCTTTGCTATTGCTTTACCGCCCCCTTTGTGGAGTGGGGCTATGTCTTTTGATTTTAGCAGCTGTGGGATGACCCGCGTCCGTGCTCCCTCTCCATAGGATGTTAAAAGCACGTGATGTTGATATATATCAATTATCATCAGGGCTAAAAAATGGGACTAAATTAGCTGTTTCCTGCAGACCATTCATTACATGCAGTGCTTTTCATATTCTTTGCATCATCAAGGCTAAACTGTGAGGATACTGGAGATGATTATGTAAAATTTGAGATGTATTCCAAGATTTACGTATTCCTTATTTCTTTCCATTTGCATAATTACGGTTATAATGAGAAGAAATTAGATATAATGTAAATACAGTATCTAGTGTATATACGTTGTGCCTCTGTTTAGTTGTACAGTATCTAGTGTATATACGTTGTGCATCTGTTTAGTTGTACAGTATCTAGTGTATATATGTTGTGCATCTGTTTAGTTGTACAGTATCTAGTGTATATACGTTGTGCATCTGTTTAGTTGTACAGTATCTAGTGTATATACGTTGTGCAATCTGTTTAGTTGTACAGTATCTAGTGTATATATGTTGTGCATCTGTTTAGTTGTACAGTATCTAGTGTATATACGTTGTGCATCTGTTTAGTTGTACAGTATCTAGTGTATATACGTTGTGCATCTGTTTAGTTGTACAGTATCTAGTGTATATACGTTGTGCATCTGTTTAGTTGTACAGTATCTAGTGTATATACGTTGTGCATCTGTTTAGTTGTTACTTTTATTTTGTGATAAATTACTTGCATATTCTAGGTTCACAGGTTCTGCACCTGTCAGAGAATGCCATACGTACTATTTATAAACATGTACTGTTTCTTCTCGTTTGTGTAATCAAGGTTAAAAAGCAAGAAGAACCTACCTACTCCACATACCATGTGCATCAGTTTAGTTCATAAATTTGCATTTTGTGATAAAGGAGAATGTACGATGGTGTTGACAATGTTTATGCCTACTTGTCCCTCCCTCCCTCCAATCCTCCCATCCTTTGTGTCTTCCAAGAGGCAAATTTAACATCATTCGCATATAATGTAATGGACATACCTTATTAATTCATTATATCAGCAGGTAGCAGAAGTGAAAGTGAAAATGAACTAAAGGAGGAGACAGGGAAAGATGTAAGCAACTATTGGGAGAAAGGTGGACTAGAGAGGGTGGTAAGAGAGAGACAAAAGTTAGCACATAAGAGGTTTTTACGAAATAGAAATGACATATGGAAGTCAGTGTGTATAGAGAGAAATTAAATGAGTGGTGAGGGAGTACAAGGGGAGAGTCGATAAGAGAATGAGCAAGTTTTTATCAGCAGATTTTCCTGAAAATAATAAACAATTTTAGAAAGACATTAATCAATTGGAAAACTTGGAGAGCAAATGGACTTTGCAGTTAAAGAGGGTAAACGTTAGATAGGGAGGTGGAGGTACTGAAAAAAAGAATATTTTGAGGATCTAATTAATACTGATGATCAGCAGTAATTTCATGCAGTGGGCAGGGAAATATCACATAGGAATAAGAAAGAGCCAGAGATGGACGCAGGGAAAGTGTGTGAGGCAGTGGGTAGAATGAAAAGAAAGTAAAGCAGCTGGAGCAGATGGAATTGAGATGAGAGGTTGAAAGGTGGGGATATAGTTTTGGAGTAATTGGGATATTTGTTTAGTCCACAGTATTCATGAAAAGAGGGCGGTACCTGAGGATGGGGGAGAGTCAGATGCTCATCAGTCTGGGATTCTGCAGTAGAAGTTAAATAATTCTTGTGTTGGTTGAGTGGCACTGACTAATGAGATGTTTTTCATGAATTTCAATAACTTGGAGCTCTTTGGAAGTTTGATGGCAAATTCATTTACCAGTTTCTCATATTATATGTCTCTAAACTGGTATCCCATGGGTAGTTCATTTTTCCATCAAACTGAAGGGCACTGCCCAAGCTTCAGTTGTTCCTTAAAAAAAGCTATGTGGTAAGATTGATGTGCTGGACATAGCAACCAGTTTACTGACTTTTTTAATCCTGGGGAGCTGAGTTGCAGCCTCTTTCAGCCCATCCTTTACAACTAATTACAATGTGTTGGAAAAGTATACTAAAAGCTCAAGTTTTTATTCAGTCCTTATGTCATTGCAGTTATTTATGCATGTCTAATTTTAAACAGTGACCTTCCAGTAGCTGCCTTGCTCAAGTTTGTTGATGAAGGAGATAACACAGATGATGCTTTTGTCCTTGTCAACTACCTCAATGCATGGAAAAAACTTGTGCAGGTTAGTGTTTTTGTGTGATAATCCACATTAACCTTAAACTGTCTCTCATAAATTTATGATGAGACTTTTGTGTCTGCTGTAAATTAATGCATAATTTTAATGCCTTCATCTTTTATGCCATCTGACATGTTATGGTTCAGTTAAAGTGTTTGGGCGATTTCAACCTTGTCCAGCCTAGAAAAAAATTTTAGGGCTCGGAAGGTCCAAAGTGCATCAAAGGGTAACAGTGACTTTGCAGGACATGTCAGTGGTGTGTAATATGCCTCTCTGCATTTAAGTAAATTTGTTTTTGCTTAGACTTGTGTATATAGCATACATATATCTTTTACAGTATGCTTGGGGACACATGGGTACATAAAAAGTAATGTAAATTGCATTTGTATGTATACTGTATATTTTTTACACAGAAACCCAAGAAAATCACTGTGACTTATTTCCATGTTTTTCTGGGATGTCATGCTCTGAATCAGTTGTAATATCATAAGATTTTCTTGAGAATATATACATGCATGAGCATATCAGAATAACATTACGAAGTAATGTAGTAAGTAGCAAGGTAGTAGGTTGGTAGACAGCAACCACCCAGGGAAGTACTACCGTCCTGCCAGATGACTGTGAAACAGAAACCTGTAACTGTTTTGCATGATGGTAGGATTGCTGGTTTCTATTTCTGTCTCATAAACACGCTAGATAACAGGGATATCTTGCTACTCCTACTTACACTTTGGTCACACTTCACAGACACGCACATGCATATATATATACATACATCTAGGTTTTTCTCCTTTTTCTAAATAGCTCTTGTTCCTCTTTTTTTCTTCTATTGTCCATGGGGAAGTGGAAAAGAATCTTTCCTCCGTAAGCCATGCGTGTCGTATGAGGCGACTAAAATGCCGGGAGCAATGGGCTAGTAACCCCTTCTCCTGTAGACATTTACTAAAAAAGAGAAGAAGAAAAACTTTATAAAACTGGGATGCTTAAATGTGCGTGGATGTAGTGCGGATGACAAGAAACAGATGATTGCTGATGTTATGAATGAAAAGAAGTTGGATGTCCTGGCCCTAAGCGAAACAAAGCTGAAGGGGGTAGGGGAGTTTCAGTGGGGGGAAATAAATGGGATTAAATCTGGTGTATCTGAGAGAGTTAGAGCAAAGGAAGGGGTAGCAGTAATGTTGAATGATCAGTTATGGAGGGAGAAAAGAGAATATGAATGTGTAAATGCAAGAATTATGTGGATTAAAGTAAAGGTTGGATGCGAGAAGTGGGTCATAATAAGCGTGTATGCACCTGGAGAAGAAAGGAATGCAGAGAGAGAGAGATTTTGGGAGATGTTAAGTGAATGTATAGGAGCCTTTGAACCAAGTGAGAGAGTAATTGTGGTAGGGGACCTGAATGCTAAAGTAGGAGAAACTTTTAGAGAGGGTGTGGTAGGTAAGTTTGGGGTGCCAGGTGTAAATGATAATGGGAGCCCTTTGATTGAACTTTGTATAGAAAGGGGTTTAGTTATAGGTAATACATATTTTAAGAAAAAGAGTATAAATAAGTATACAAGATATGATGTAGGGCGAAATGACAGTAGTTTGTTGGATTATGTATTGGTAGATAAAAGACTGTTGAGTAGACTTCAGGATGTAGATGTTTATAGAGGGGCCACAGATATATCAGATCACTTTCTAGTTGTAGCTACAGTGAGAGTAAAAGGTAGATGGGATACAAGGAGAATAGAAGCATCAGGGAAGAGAGAGGTGAAGGTTTATAAACTAAAAGAGGAGGCAGTTAGGGAAAGATATAAACAGCTATTGGAGGATAGATGGGCTAATGAGAGCATAGGCAATGGGGTCGAAGAGGTATGGGGTGGGTTTTAAAAAATGTAGTGTTAGAGTGTTCAGCAGTAGTTTGTGGTTACAGGAAAGTGGGTGCGGGAGGGAAGAGGAGCGATTGGTGGAATGATGATGTGAAGAGAGTAGAAAGGGAGAAAAAGTTAGCATATGAGAAGCTTTTACAAAGTAGAAGTGATGCAAGGAGGGAAGAGTATTGGAGAAAAAGAGAGAGGTTTTAAAAGAGTGGTGAAGCAATGTAAAAAGAGAGCAAATGAGAGAGTGGGTGAGATGTTATCAAAAAATTTTGTTGAAAATAGAAAAAAATTTTGGAGTGAGATTAACAAGGGTTTAAAAAAGCCTAGAGAACAAATGGATTTGTCAGTTAAAAATAGGAGAGGAGAGTTATTAATGGAGAGTTAGAGGTATTGGAAGATGGAGGGAATATTTTTAGGAATTGTTAAATGTTGATGAAGATAGGGAAGCTGTGATTTCGTGTATAGGGCAAGGAGGAACAACATCTTGTAGGAGTGAGGAAGAGCCCGTTGTGAGTGTGGGGGAAGTTCGTGAAAGGGAGTAGGTAAAATGAAGGGGGTAAGGCAGCCGGGGATGATGGGATAAAGATAGAAATGTTAAAAGCAGGTGGGGATATAGTTTTGGAGTGGTTGGTGCAATTATTTAATAAATGTATGGAAGAGGGTAAGGTACCTAGGGATTGGCAGAGAGCATGCATAGTTCCTTTGTATAAAGGCAAAGGGGATAAAAGAGAGTGCAAAAATTATAGGGGGATAAGTCTGTTGAGCACTAGGTGGTAGGTTGGTTGACAGCAACCGCCCAGGGAGGTACTACCGTCCTGCCAAGTGAGTGTAAAACAAAAGCCTGTAATTGTTTTACATGATGGTAGGATTGCTGGTGTCCTTTTTTCTGTCTCATGAACATGCAAGATTTCAGGTACGTCTTGCTACTTCTACTTGCACTTAGGTCACACTACACATACATGTACAAGCATATATATACACACCCCTCTGGGTATTCTTCTGTTTTCTTTCTAGTTCTTGTTCTTGTTTATTTCCTCTTATCTCCATGGGGAAGTGGAACAGAATTCTTCCTCCGTAAGCCATGCGTGTTGTAAGAGGCGACTAAAATGCCGGGAGCAAGGGGCTAGTAACCCCTTCTCCCGTATAAATTACTAAATTTAAGAGAAACTTTCGTTTTTCTTTTTGGGCCACCCTGCCTTGGTGGGATATGGCCGGTGTGTTGAAAGAAAGAAAGAAGTCTGTTGAGTATACCTGGCAAAGTGTATGGTAGAGTTATTATTAAAAGAATTAAGAGTAAGACGGAGAATAGGATAGCAGATGAACAAGGAGGCTTTAGGAAAGGTAGGGGGTGTGTGGACCAGGTGTTTACAGTGAAACATATAAGTGAACAGTATTTAGATAAGGCTAAAGAGGTCTTTGTGGCATTTATGGATTTGGAAAAGGCGTATGACAGGGTGGATAGGGGGGGCAATGTGGCAGATGTTGCAGGTGTATGGTGTAGGAGGTAGGTTACTGAAAGCAGTGAAGAGTTTTACGAGGATAGTGAGGCTCAAGTAGAGTATGTAGGAAAGAGGGAATATTATTTCCCAGTAAAGTAGGCCTTAGACAAGGATGTGTGATGTCACCATGGTTGTTTAATATATTTATAGATGGGGTTGTAGAGAAGTAAATGCGAGGGTCTTGGCAAGAGGCGTGGAGTTAAAAGATAAAGAATCACACATAAAGTGGGAGTTGTCACAGTTGCTCTTTGCTGATGACACTGTGCTCTTGGGAGATTCTGAAGAGAAGTTGCAGAGATTGGTGGATGAATTTGGTAGGGTGTGCAAAAGAAGAAAATTGAAGTGAATACAGGAAAGAGTAAGTATGAGGATAACAAAAAGATTAGGTGATGAAAGAATGGATATCAGATTGGAGGGAGAGTGTATGGAGGAGGTGAATGTATTCAGATATTTGGGAGGGACATGTCAGCGGATGGGTCTATGAAAGATGAGGTAAATCATAGAAATTGATGAGGGGAAAGGGTGAGTGGTGCACTTAGGAGTCTGTGGAGACAATGAACTTTGTCCTTGAGGCAAAGAGGGGAATGTATGTAGTATAGTTTTACCAACGCTCTTATATGGGTGTGAAGCATGGATGATGAATGTTGCAGTGAGGAGAAGGCTGGAGGCAGTGGAGATGTCATTGGTTCTGAGAGCAATGTGTGGTGTGAATATAATGCAGAGAATTCGTAGTTTGGAAGTTAGGAGGAGGTGCGGATTACCAAAACTGTTGTCCAGAGGGCTGAGGAAGGGTTGTTGAGGTGGTTCGGACATGTGGAGAATGGAGCGAAACAGAATAACTTCAAGAGTGTATCAGTCTGTAGTGGAAGGAAGGCGGGGTAGGGGTCGGCCTAGGAAAGGTTGGAGGGAGGGGGTAAAGGAGGTTTTGTGTGTGAGGGGGTTGGACTTCCAGCAGGCATGCGTGGCGTGTTTGATAGGATTTATTATTTAATCAAAAAGAAAGCGCTAAGCCACAAGGGCTATACAGCGCTGCAGGGTAGGAAGGAAGCAAGGGAATTGGATGAGAAGGGAGGGGGGATGATCAGCAGGTTACAGAAAACAGCGGGGCAGGGTGATAGTAGGGGGTAGAGGGTAGCAGAGGATACAAGTAGAAAGGGCTGAAAGTATCAATTTGTGAAGTAAGTCAGTCGTTGTCAAAAGTCAATGAGAGAGTCCGGATGAAGGTGGGTCCATCAGCGAGAGGGGAAAGGGAAAGAGAGAGCAGCGGGGCGAAGCGACGACAGAGGTAAATTCTGCGTGCTCGTTGATAAAGTGGGCAGTCCAACAGAATGTGGGGGACTGATAATGGAGTTTGGGAAATTTCTCACAGAGGGAGCAAGCCCGCCTCCCCAAAGAGATACCTGAGTAAAAACGAGTAGGGCCCCAATGCAAGCCGGGAGAAGTATTCCCCCCAACCCTCGACACTGGGGGAAGAACCCCCCGGCCTAAACCAAACCTTTTTAAAAAAAACTGGTTTGTTCCCGAGCTTTTGTAGACCAACTTTGGGCCCCAAGGGGTTGGGGAAGGGGGGGAAGAAAATTACGCAAAATGGGCCCTTTAAAAGGAATCCCTCTTTTGGGAAAACTGGTAGGCCAGGGACTGCTGACCCGAAAGCAGTTTCTGCCTGTTCATTCCCCTGAAACTTCCAAC